AATATGGAAAATATGTATATAATATTTAAAATTCATTATGTTTATAGAGTTCATAGTTATATTTGAAAAGTAGAAGGGGTTTAGTAAATGTCTACTTGATTAGTTTTTCCCGATTAAAGTATATTTTTATAATATAAAGATAAGTATCTTTTTTACAGCTATCTAGGCTATCTAGTAATTATAGAAATTAAAAAGAAACATTTACTTAATATTATTTTAATTTTAGAGAATAAAAAGTGAATAGACAATGCCAGTTTATATATATAAACATAAACATAATGTATATAAATATTCTCTGAGTTTATATATATACTCATATATACTCATATATATACTCATATATATATACTCATATATACTCATATATATACTCATATATATACTCATATATACTCATATACTCATATACTCATATACATATATATATACACCAAACTCATATATATACTCATATATATACTCATATATACTCATATATATAAACATAAACATAAACATAAATATATATATAAACATAATTTTCTCTGAGTTTGGTGTGTAAACCTTTGCCAGTAGACGAGATCGCCAAGCTGTATGGTCTAGTTCTGGCGACCGTCAGGGTATGCCAACTGCAAGACCAGAGCTTGAGCTTGAGCGCAATTAGGCACTTGATGCCGGACCTAGGCACCGAAGTGAGGCCTTTCGTCATCTGGGGCTACTGTGGCCCCTTCCCAGCGGGGTTCAAGGCCACTTTCCTAGATATGCATGGGCCGCAGGCGAGTTTGGAGGTAGTGCAACAGCTTTTCATGTCCGCATCTACAGGGGTGTACAATGTGATCAGGGAAGGGGATAGTAGCCAGGAAAAGCTGGTTCTCAAGCTCCTCTCACTATTCAGGTTGGCAAGCTCGGGCATCTTCGTCCTGTACTCGCCCTCAGCTTCTCCAGCTCCTCCAACGTTGGACGCTCTGCTGGAAACATGACGGTTTGCTCATAGACCGATCACCCCAATACAAAGCTAATTCATATCTTGTTTAAATCTTATAAGAAAAGTCTACACTTCCATATGTAGTTCTATTATATTCTCAGCTATGTTTTGCCTTCGCATTTTTATTTTTTTTGGCTGGTCCTTTGCTTGATGGCAACTTCCTCTATGGCAAAGATTTCCTTTTTGGCTTGTCCAGAGCTAACTGCTAGAGCTACTATCTTGGATTCCTCCTGTTCCAGCAGCTCTACAATGCAGCAGCAAAACTAAGAAATATATCAATTAATCTGACCTATCTCCTCGTCTTTTCAGCCCTAAACCCTTGTAATGTTTTATTATTAACTGTTTTGAATATTTTAATCGAGATTTTATTTAGGGTTTATGAGGAAGGGTTTACATGGCAAAGGCGCCTCCGGTCTTGCAATGGATGCGCCAGCCGCTGGATGTCAACTCTTTCGAGGAGCAAAGCCTCGATTCTGTGCCATTTCTTCATCCTGGGTACGTGCGATCACTCTCAATGTGGCATTCGATTTCTTTGGTGATGCAGCTTGATGGAATCGTTGCGAAACGTTGGAATTCACTCGCTATTCCCCGTGCAAGCGGCGGTGTGGCACGAAACCGTGGGTCCTGGAGGTGGCGCCAGGGATTTAAGCATCTCGTCTCCCACTGGGAGTGGCAAAACTCTCGCGTACTCCTTGCCCATCGCTCAAAGCCTCTCCCAGTGTCTTCTAAGGCGCCTTCGAGCTCTCATTGTGGTGCCAACTCGTGATCTAGCAATGCAGGTATTCTCTCTTTGGGTGCTTTTTCTTTCTCCATTTCTTTCGTTGTGTTCTTCGCCTAGAAACTTATTTTTACTCGTATTTTTCCAGGTGAAACAAGTCTTTGATGCTATAGCTCCTTCGGTTGGTCTTTCCGTCGGTATTGCTGTTGGACAAACTTCTGTAGCCGCTGAAGCCTCTCAGCTCGTGCTTTTCCCTGGAAAGATCGATACTTGCTTCCGGGAGCTCCATCTTGCCAGTGATAATCTTGCGGAGAGTCGAGTCGACATTCTGGTTGCCACGCCGGGTCGGCTCATGGATCACATACAAAACACTCCTGGGTTTACACTGGAGCATCTTCAATACTTGGTAAGCACTTTCATTCTTCTCTTTTTCCTTTTTTTTTTTTTTCCTAAGCTCCACGTTTTTCTCAAGGTTGTAGATGAGACAGATCGACTTCTGCGTGAGGCGTATCAGGAATGGCTTCCGACCGTCCTTGAAGCAGCCAGTGCCAAGAACTTTTCTCCCAGCGACGATAGTAATCCCGGCATTGGCTCGGTTCGCACCATCCGCCGCTCGTAAGTTTTTATACGCGGTCCTTCGTGGTCTTGTTTTAAAGTCTTGTGTGTTTTTTCCTCGTTTATCAGGTGCTTAGAAAGAGGTATCAAAGGCTGCGTCGTACCGAGGCTTCAGAAGATTATTGTATCGGCTACTTTGACAAGAGATCCAGCGAAGATCGCACAGCTTCGGCTGTACCATCCACTTTCCGTTGCACTGTCGACATCGGACAACTTGTATAAGCTCCCGGAGCAATTGCGGTCCTACACGATTGTAAGTTTTGGTTTTAACAACGTTGTGACAGTTTTCTTCTCTCGGCGTTTTATGCGTGTTATGTGTTTCTCTCCTTTTCCTTATACAGATCTGTAAGGCGCAACAAAAGCCATTGAAACTCGTCACACTTTTGCACAGCCTGGGTGATCAGCGAACAGTGATCTTCACCTCGTCCGTGTCAAACACCCATCGCTTATCAACATTCCTGGCGTGCTTCGAGGATCTTCCTTTTAGAGCTGTCGAGTACTCGAGCTTCCAACATCAGCTGGCACGAAGGTATGGGACGACCAAAAACTTTGTCTACACTGACTCTCTTGTCTGTGTCGTTCTACAGCAAAGCCTTGGCCGCGTTTAGAGCCGGGGAGGCACAAGTTTTGGTGGCGTCTGACGCAATGGCCCGGGGAATGGACGTCGAAGGTGTCACGCACATAATCAACTACGACATGCCTCCTTTTGCGAGAACATATGTACACCGAGTCGGCCGGACTGCTAGAGCTGGAAGATCAGGCTCTTGCTTCACGCTTCTTCGCAAGGAAGAGGTAAAAAGAAAAGTCCATCACTCTCTCTTTTTCTTTTCTCTCATCTCGCTCACTCATTTTCGTTTGTCCGATCCTGTAGGTGAGGTATTTCAAGAGCATTCTCGCCAAGGTCCAAAACAGCTCCTGCAAGACGTACAAAGTGTCCTCCGAATCCACTAAAGAGCTCCGTCCCCGCTATTGGACTGGTCCGTCTCGCCCCGAATCTCTTTTATTAAATGCAGTACTAACACTTTCGATATCCATGCTTGCAGCTTTACAAAAGCTAAAGGAGATTCTGGATGCCGGGGCTGGAAAGAAGGGGCATGAAATGTATGCCGAAGAAGTAACAGCGGCTGATGATGCAGCGGTGGTGGCTTCACTGTTACCCGGCTAGCAATCGAAGGAACAACAAGAAAAAAAAAAACAGTTGCGGCATTAAAAACTCGAGCAACAGCCAACAATCCACCGGTTGGAGGAAAGCTTCTTCAATCGTTTTCGACCACAACAACAACAACACTATGAGAGGCAGCGCTCGCGTTGGTGCTGCAAAACAGGTTTCTCGTTTGCGTTTTAATGTTCTTTTGTGGAATGGTTATATACGCGCAGAAAGCAAAGGCTTCCCACTCTCAACAGCTCGACTGCCGCTTTCACAGCAAGGTCCACTAGTCACTGTTTGGATTTGGGTGGTGAAAGTAACGCTTCGGTCATCCACTGGGAAAACAAAAATAAAAACTTCAGACTGGTGAGCAACTGTTTTTTGCAAGTTTTTTTTCCCTTGCTTTTCCGATCTTGATTTTGTTCCTTTGGCGTAGGACCCTTGAGTGATTGTCTCCTCTTTTTAATTTTTTATCTTCCAGAGAGAAAATGGTGCTCTGTTTGATGATTCACAGAACCACTGCAAGGCTTTGTCAAAGGTCAAGTAGGAGGAGGCAAACTTTTCCAAGGATTGTAATTGCAGTCCGTGTGATTTCGGGATTACAAAACAAAGCAGGAGCTTGTGACGCCTCATCCATCGGGTCACATGAAAGGTTTGCTTTTTTATGTTTTTTTTGCTTTGAACAGCGAGTTCAAGGACGGAAGCAGAGGTTTGGCCTGCAAATCCTCCAAGTTGCATATGCGACTCCATTAAAACAAAGGAAAGTGAGTACTACTACTTGAAATTTAAGCAGGCTGATTCATACTTCCAATGACTTTGCTATTTCTTTATAGACCATCCAGCGAAGAAAAGAGAAAGATAGTGTCACCATTCTGGGCAGCACTCTTGTACGACGATACGGGCGGTGCTAAATCGCTCGTCACAGTGTCAAAAGCTTTACAAAAAGGCCCCCAAAGACAAAAGAGGTAAACTTACTATCGATCGAGAGCCAAGCTTTTATCATGTATAACCAGGAATAATCAACGGATTATCAAAAGCAGCCACTTACGACGGCACAGCTGCCCGATCTTAGAACATTTTAAACTCGGCGACGAGATCGTGCGTATCAGCGGGATTGGTAATCAAATCTTTTGTCTCCTCATAAGCCTTGTTAAACGTTTAGTGGCGACAAGGTGACAATCCAAGCAAGGTTCTATCCATCTTCATCATCCACATTGTCTCCCGATTAACCTATGATTTTCCCACTCTTGTTTGTGTGGCTGGCCGTTTTTAACACCGCGCGAATTAACAACAAGGTTGCCGGCTGATTACCGAGCACTGCGCCGTTCCGTACACAAGCTGGTCACTGGCTCAGTCCGTACGCGCTGGCGTTGTTTGTGTGTGTGGCCCATACCCATCATTTCATTATGGGTACCTACGGGATGGGGACAACGTCGCTTTCCCACATTATCCGCGGGACACGTGTCCCTGGCGTGGCCCCGGGACACGTATACTGACGCGGCCGTACGCTAAGGCCCACTGGCGGGAATCGCGTCTCGTACGGCGCACCCGCAAAACGAGGGAAATTAAACTAATAGGCACCTGCTAAAGAAACCGTAAACGACAGTCGGGGTTAGTTTAAAACTAACGGGGTTGAAAAACCCTAATCTTCGCTTATGTTAAACCAGGGCCAATCCAGAGGCGCCACAGGGTGGTGGTATGGTATGGTATGGACAAGAATGGAATGCATGGAGATTTCTAAGGGGACCGGGCAATTCGCTAGAGGGGCGGGATGGCCGTACATGGATTGTTGGGTGTATCTCTGGCACATTGGCAGTATTATGGCGTGAGTATAGTGTCTATGTGTCCACTGTTATAATACTGGAAGTTGGCGGACGATGCTGACCCTAGAATTTTATAACTTTCGGGCTTGTAAGGGGAAAGGTGGCCATGTCGCTTACGGAACCCTAGGGGGAAGTATACTACGTTTCTTACCGGATGTAACTTGTCACCTCGCCCATTCTTTTTAAAGGTTCCGTGATGCCCTCTCACTTTTACGTGGACGGACCTCCATTGTGTTTGGCTTTAGGGTTCCCTGGTAACAATCCGCCGGTTTTGGAAGCTTTCACAGGTGGAGGAGAAACTTAAGGTTGCGCGCCGCGCGCTCGTCTCTTCTTCGTCGCCGATTGCTTTGTCTTTTGTTTCTCCTTTGGTTCTGATAATGACGAGGTGACAACGCACTCGCTCGCTGCAAGCAAGTGTGGCGAGCCACGGATGGATCGATCCGTCACGCTGATCGATTGATTGTCGATCCATTCATCCGTGGTACTCGCAAATAAAAGAGAGAAAAAAAAAAAAAGGATTCGGAGAGATTCAATTCCATCCATCCATGTAACTTATATGCCCCGTGTGCCTTTGTGATGTTGTAACTCTTCCCAAAGTCCCAAGGTTCATACCGGACGAGCATATTCCCCCGCATAATCATCCACTTTGAATCCCATGATCACGATTCCGGCCATCAACACACTCTCTGCGCAGGAATTTAAGTTTTTTTTTAACGCTCGATGATGGCATCGTATACTTTCGCGTATTCCAACGTACCCTGAACAATCAACTTAGACTTTAATCCAAGGTCATCATTTGAAATTAACCCAATCATGGGTTTCGCTAAACGCCACGGGTTTAAGCCGAGTTTAAACTCCACCAAACCTAAACCACACTTTACTAAGGGCCCCTGGTGTAAACGATCCCCTGCTAAGGACGGTGTCCTCCACGGATGAGCAGCATATAAAATTTCAGGAGTAAATCCAAATGGAAGCTATGGCGAGGGCCATTTTTTAGGGTTCTCGCGGAGCGAGAGGAAGAAGATTGGCTGTGTTGCGGTATTGCGAAGGGATCTCTCTCAAATTTTTGTCTCTCAATCACTGGTTTGTAGCGCGGCCTTCCATCGCTGCTTCGCGAGAGCATTTGGATTCCAGATTTCCCCTCTTTTTTTTTGCGCTCTCCATCTCTTCCGGAAGGGGCATTTTTGTTTTCTCCGTTGATCCAATCCAAGCGCCATCGCGAGGAAGGAGAGAGATCTTCGTTTCATTTCTCCTTACACTGGGTCTTCTATAAGTTTTCCCTTTCTTGAGAGAGTTCTAGACGCAACCGTGTTCTTCATCTTCTTCTCCAAGCTATCGAGTTGGATGGTCGAAGCGTGGGGTGTGTGGTGAGCTCCAGCATCGTGCGGCACAAGTCTTGGATCGCGATCAGCTTTAAGAGCAATTGATCGATCCATCCATCGATCTACCCTAGTTCTAGCCAGGATTTCTGGGCAGGAATTCTCTTCTTTCCCCTTTCCAGAATTCCTCTCACGAGCGCGTGCGAACAAAGAGAAGCTGTGATCATCGAGCGAGAGGAGCTGCAATGATGACAAGAATGACCGCGGTGGCACCCAAGGAGCGCATCTCCAGCGGCCTCTCCAGCGTGATCCGCGAGAGGAATGCCGCGGCGGCTGGGCCGAGCCGCCGGGACAAGCTCCTCGGGATCTCTCCCGGATCATCCCCGTCGCCGCTCTCGATGCTCGATCCACCCGACAGCGAGCTCCGGGAGGAGGACGTGTGGGGCGGCGACGAGAATTCAGCCGACGATCTGGACGAGAATCAACCCTCTCAGCAGCAGCCATCGGCGCGATTCCTCAAGAGTGGGCGCCAGTGGCTGGGGCTGGAATCCTCCACCAAGGAGCAAGCCTCGCCGCTGGGGCTCTCGTCCATCAATCGCCCAAGCGCCAAGGAGGTGTCCACCGCGGCGCCAGTGCGCAAATCCACCACGGCCTCGCGGATGATCCCCCAGGTCTCGTCCTTCGATCACCCGGGGAAGATGATCCAGCAGCAGTCGGCGCCAGTGAACATCCCGGACTGGAGCAAGATCCTGGGGATCGACAAGCGCGGCGGCAAGGAGAATGGGTTCGATGGATCGGAGGAGCCCGAGGAGGTGGAGGAGGCGGAGGATGAGTGGCAGGAGGAGGATTTGGATCCGCGCGGCCGCGAGATGGGCAGGAAGAAGAACAGGATCCCTCCTCACGAGCTCGCGGCGAGGGAGTATGCCAAGAGCCACACTGCCTTCTCGGTGTACGAGGGCGCCGGGAGGACGCTCAAAGGGATGGATCTCCGGCGAGTGAGGAACGCAGTGTGGATGCAGACTGGATTCCTGGGCGGGTGATCCAAGAGCGAGGACGAACGATTGTTGGGTCGATCCAATCGCTTGCTCCTCGCGTTTTGGTCAGTTTTTTTTCTTTTCTTTTCTTATAGTTGTCTAGCCTTGTTCTTCATCCCTTTCGATCTTATCTCTCTCACTCCCTCTCACCCACACTGGATTAGATTGAAGTTTTGAGCACAATGACGGCAAGAAAAGAAGAAGAAGAGCAGGATTTTCTCTGGTTTTTTGCCTCCTTCCCTAGGTATGATATTGTGAAGATGATATACACTTAGAGGATTTCTTCTCCCCTTTTTTTCAATGTTACTTTGGTTTTTATTTTTCTGGCCAAGCTTGATGCTGCTCCAGAGGAAATCAGAAAAAGAATCTCTTGACTGTAAAATCGCAGGTGGTGTGTGTTTCTTGTTTTTCTAGTTTTTCTTCTCTCTCGATCTGACTGAAAATGGCATAGTGGAATTGATGAATGGGAGTGCTGTGTTTTTTTTCTACTCTTTTTTCTCGTGTTTTGCAGCGCAGCAGCAGCAGCAGAAGCGGAAGCAGAAGGAGAATCAGAGAGAGAAAAAATTGGAGGAAAAAATGAAGAGAGAGAAAAAGGGTGTCTCAAAGTTGTTCTTGACAAATGTGAGCTTGACAAAGAACTCCAGAACCTTTTCTTGCTTCCAAAGTCTCCCTGGTTTCTCTGATCTCAACTTCTTGGATAGGGAATTTGGGAGTTTCTCCATATGGATCAGAACTTCTTTGGTTATATGATCCATGTCTCTGGTTTGGAGGAAGAAAAAAAAAAATGCAACTCCATAGCTGCATTCCTGATTTGCAAACTTGGAAGTCAGTGACAGGGAGGAATCTTTTGCTGACTCCCAAGTTTCTGCTGCCTCGCATTTGCTGACTGATCACAGATGATCTCATTCTTTTCCCTTTCTCTCTTACGAAAACTCGGCATTTCCTGACTCACCATTGATCACAGATGGATAATCACAACAAGAGTTTTCGAGCAGTCCGCCACCCCAAGGTCAGATTTTTCGCGACTACCCACGCAGATAAAGAGGCCATTTTACCAGGCGAATGGATAAGTGCTGCTGCGCCATATATCTATCCTACTGCCATTCCTTAGTTTTCTCAGCTATTTTGCGTCTGGCAACCACGGCAGCTAGCTGGCCTTCCACGCTGTTGCTCCTATCCCCTTGTTTTTGTTAACCCCAAAATGGCCGAATCAAGTACCTCATCCATCCAGTACAAAGGTGGTCGAACTCTCACGATTCGTGACCTCCAATTAGTGTACCTTAACCCGACTTAGTGAAAGAAAAGCCGAGCTTTGTGTGCTATACTTTTGCTCCTTTCACGTCCGTCAACTTTACGGACTTGAAACCCACGCAATTCATTCGCCCTCGAGTGCTCTGGCGTGCGCCCAGGCGCTTAAACTTGTTCGCGACGTCGCCACCCCTGGATTGATGACCTCAAGTTGGGGTAATTCCCTGCTCGGCTGAAGACGTTGGCCCTGCTTTGTCTTCCTCGCAACAGTATTCTCTGCTTGCTTTGTGAGTGCGGCGACAAGCAAGCGGTCGTGCTTCTTGTCCTCTTCTTCTGTTGCTCTACAGCGCCGCTTTTGGAGCGTGGCGCTTGGCGTCTGGTTTGCTCGAGATCTCGTTGCGTAAGTCCCGTCTCTGGAGTTTAGGATGAAACAAAGGCTGCGGCGAGGCTACATTCTTCAGTGGAAGCACACAACCAAAATGCTGACCGCCTATCGAAATGTCAAACGCTGGCGAGAAAACGATCAATAGTAGAGCTTTGCCTGGACACAGTTTTCGAGTACGACGCACGCGAGGCAGAGTAGACGTCAAGGAAACCAGATGCTTGCCGATCTATCTTTGTTCTTGATCGCGCGCACGACTTCTTTGGAGCTTTAGTTTGATCCTGGGATCGTATTGGACATCGCGCTGCAAGATGAATTCGTGAGGCTTCCTTTGATAGCTTTAGGCGTTTCAATCAAAACAGGAACCTTTGGCAGCCTTTGATGTCGTCAATGTATATAAGCAATCATTTATCCATACTTTGCTCTTTAGCTCGGGCCAGTCCTTTGACAGTGATTTTACGTTCAACAGAAGCTATCCGCATGAGAAGATGAGACTCTATTGTGGACTTTCCTCCGAGATATTTCTAGAAATGTGAGAATTTCACTGTAGAAGATAGAGCATACTCTTGAGCTTGGAAGAAAATTCTGGATCAAAATTGGCACAATTGCACATATACATTAATGTGGCTCTATGATATCACAAGCGAGAGTTCAATAACCACATTAGTCCAAGGTTCCTCTTCTCGATCTAGTCTAGATTCGCGAGATTGGTGTACCTTATAGAAACTCTGCTCATCCACAACTTCGCAAGCAGTCATCTCAAAAAAAGAAAAGAAAAAGGAGGTACCTTTGTGCGCACTTCGCTAGCTCCTTTTCTCAAACCAGAGCTTTCACTGCCGCAATGTCGTCCATCATCTGCGACAGCTGCCTCTGGACTCCCTGTGGCATCGTCAATCTGTTAAAAGGTGACCGGCTTCTCACGGCGCTGTGGCTTGTATACGGCCTTAAACCCACGCTGTTCATGTTGCTTATCGTCCTCAAGCACTCCGGCGTGCCACCACGAAGAAGAACCGTCGATGCCGACTGTGGACGCTTAAGTTTCCTGGCGACGTCGCCACCCCTGGATTGATGATATCCCGAGTTCTCGTCCGTGTAGTGCGCTGCTCGGCTGGAAACGTTATCGTCGTCGTCGAAGTAGACGGACATGGCGGTGGAGGGTCTCGTCGCTGATAGAGCGGTCGATGGCCTGGAAGTTCTCCCGGACATGGCCGTGGACGGGCGAGTCGTGTCCACCAGAGGCGTGCTACACCGGCTGCTGGAGCGTCTCTGCGAGCTTGGAGGCCTCGTCCACTGCGTGCCTTCCGAGTAAGAAGTGCTGCAAACGACGTTGGCCTCGCCCGTGTATAAGTTTTCGCCGACTCTCGTCGACCACCTCTTCTCGGAGTCGTCCAAGACCCGGTAGTAGCCAGACATGTTGTGAGGCTCGTGGTGGTCGTGGAATAGCGACAGGTACGACTTGGGAGGCACTGGCGACCCTGTCAGCTTCACCTCCGGCCAAAACGCGCCGCCTATCGGCAGTGGCGAGCTCCTTTGTCTTCCTCGCAACTGTACGCTTTGTCTCCTTTGCCTGCTGAGGTCCATGCTGTGAAGGCGGCGCCAAGGAAGCGCCGCGTCGCGCTTATCTTCTTCTTTTTCCGTCTCAGCCTCTACAGTACTCTTGTCAACCGCTTTTGGTGCCTCTCGAAGTCGTTCTGTTTGGCTTGAGATCTCGTGTGCTTTCTCCGTTGCGTAAGTCTCGTCTCTGGACTTTTGGAAGAAGCAAGGCTGCGGCTCTACTGTCTGCGACCATCCTTGGAGTGCCATAGGCACCACCCTGGTAGCACCCGGCGTTTTGATCTTCGACGGAACGACAGGGACCAAGTGTTTGATGAGCTGCCAGTAGTTGAGATATCCTGCTTGCAAGCAAGGTATAACAACGATTGAAAAGTCCACAAGGAAAATGCTCACCATCTATTGAACTGTCAAAGGCTGTCGAGAACACTCTTAGTTCTGCAGAATTTAGACCGACGTCCAAGGCTCTAAACACGTTTTCCACCTCATCAATAGTAAGTTTGCCTGCACACAGTTTTAAAGTAAGACGCACGCAACGGCAGAGTAAAAGTCAGGAAAACCAGATGCTTGCCGATCTTTATTCTTGAAAGCGCGCACGACTTCTTTGCAGCTTTTCCCTTTCATTTGATCCTGCCAAGAAAATACATCAGAAAAATATTCTGAATCGTATTAAACATACCAACACTCTCGTCTTGAGCAGTTTTACGGCAACCAGCTCTGCCTTTTCTTGTTGAGTGGTCACCATATTCCGACTGGCGCTCTTCTTCTTCCGCATTTTCACCTTAGACTTTAAAAGCATACTATCTGCTTCAGTACCCTGAAGAAAGCGCTATGCGGTCGTCAATCGAACACGTTTTCACAACTGACGTCTTCACCTCGATGTCAGCGGTACGAAGGCTCGAATCAACAGGTGACCATGGACTTCTCGGCCGTGAACGCGGTTGTGGATGTGCTCCTTCGACCGGCTCGTACACTTCAGAGCAGGGGTCACGTACGTATCTACATTTTGGTGGACTGATATCATGAACTTGCAAGCATAAATCCCTTGTATATTTCCCTGAAAGTGTCATACTTATTCTCCACTAAACTTCCAAACGAAAAAAGAGTTACCAAAGTTACGCCTGTGAGTAGGCTTCCAGCCAGCGGTGCTGCCCTCTATGTCCGTCACAGTCATGTGATCCCTCTCCTGGACCATCAGAAAGACCCTACATTGGCAAAGGACTTGATTAAAAAATTACTACGCTTTCAGTGTGTTGTATACGCACAAAAGGTTACCCTGGATGAAATTCGTGATGATGGTCGGCTCCCATCAATGTCGTTTACGTTCATGCTGAGACAAGTAAAACAGATGTTAATGAAGGACACTTACAAGCGAGAAAACGGACCTGTCTTTCAAGAACTTCGGCTCATAAGGAGAAGGCTCTACAAAACTTGGTAACTTGTATTCCGGGACCAGCGGGCTTGTGCCTCTCGCTTTGTTTCCTAGCTTCATGTTCTGAAAAAGATCGCTGCGGCATCATCAAAACAAAAAACAATTACCTTTGGATCAGGACGGCAGCCTTTGATGTCATCAATGTATAGGCAATCATTTGGCCTATCTGCAAACCAAGAATACTATCCTGTCAATGACGTGAATCACTAGAACATTGAAAAGCATACTTCGAAGTGGTTTACGTGGTCTGTTCTTTAGCTCCGGCCAGTTCTTCGTAAGTGTTGGACTCTGCAAGAGTGAATTTGCGTTTAGGAGAAGCTACCCCGTAAGAAAAAACACGCCTTTCTTGTGGACTTACAGCACTAGGTCCCCGGTTGAGATACTTGTAGAGTGGTGCTGGAGTAGACAAAGGAATTCCTGAATGAAAGAAAGAAGGAAAGAAACATTGCAATCCCAGCTGGAACTAGCTAACGGAGTACCTTCGGTGGTAAGTGAGCCAGCGCGATTATATTTCCCAGATACGTAAGGCGCACTCTTAGCTCGTCCATCGCGCCTAGAAACACACGAACACTCAAACAGGTGAGATAGAAAAAAAATTAAAATCGTAAGCATACCTGACATCATCCGCTGCGTGGAGCGTATCCATCGACATTCGCCGCCATCGCGACGTGCCTTGGAACAGCGATTCATTCTCTCCCATCGCTAGTGGATCAAATGTAGCACGCGCGCCGAGAAGGCGAGAAGCTCGCCCCCGCCATCGCCAAAATTGTGGAGCTAAAAGCCCTAGGCGCGCCTCAACTGTGGATTACGACGAACGGCCACGATTTGGTTCTGCGGCTTTTTGAATTGGACGGTGGAGATTGTCGTTACTCCGCTTTGAATTTGGACGGCTTGGATGCGGTAGGGTTTGGCGGGGTTTAGGGTTCTTTGTCTTCTCAGGTTATGGCGAGCGCAGATGACGAGAATGCTGGGGATGTTCCGCCAGCCATCATGATGCTGAGGACTGGCCTCAAGAATCTCACCAGGAAAGTGGATGGATTGCTAAAGAAGCCGCGAGCGCTGGAAGCTGAGAGGAGAGATTCTTCTTCCGTACTGCAAGAAAAGGAAATTGTGGCCGAGCCTGTGATCGCCAATGCCAGATCAGATCATTGTGGAAAGGAGGAGAAGGAAATTCCAAGCGTGGGAGATGGATCTGTCGCGAATGGATCGAGTGATGTGGTGGTAGTGAGCAGCGATAGTGAGAGCAGCGACGACGATGAGGAGAACGACGAAGGCATGGTCGATTTACTGGTGAATTCACTACGCGTCCATTCGGGTTCTACAAGGTAAGTTTTTTCTTTCTCAAGTTCTTCCTTATGTGTGACTATAGCAGTGTTGGGGATCGCCAAGCTCTAGAGAAACAATGTTTTTCTATCAAGAAAGCTTCACCGAAAGCAGTTTCATGGGTTCCAAACACTGGCCTTCCCACTTCCACACAGCTTCTTACGACAAAGTTGCAGAGTTCTATCATGGATCCCGAGAAAGATTTGCAAGACGGACTGCTCGTACCAACACGGAACGTTCGCAAGCTCAATAAGCTTGCCAGAAAAAATATCCCTGACACAGCTGGTGCTAAATGGTAAGTTTTGTGTAGTTTTTCTGCTTTCTCTTTCACTCACAGCTTCACAGGTTTAACATGCCTGCACAAACTTTGACACCAGAGCTGAAACGAGAGCTTCAGCTTATCAAGGTATGAATTGCTTTTGAAAGCTTCGATCTAAGAGCTTGCTGGATGCTACTCTTTAGTTGAGAGGTGCTCTGGATCCAAAGCGTCACTACAAGAAGGAGGATTCCAAAAAACTTCCCAAGTACTTTCAGGTAAATAGCTGTAGAGGTTTTGTGATATAGAGGAAGTTCTAATGACCAGTGCAGATTGGTACTGTTGTGGAAGGACCTGGGGAGTTTTATTCAAGCAGGCTGACCAGGGCTGAACGTAAAGCCACAATCGCAGAGGAGCTTCTCGCAGATGCCGGCGTTCAAACTTTCAGGTTTGATCGAGATTGTTTTTTGAATTTTCCTGGCTTAGTTGCTCTGCACTTCCTTCTGTGTAGAAAGCGTAAGTTTGCAGAGATTATGGAAAAGAGTTCAGCCGGTCGAAACAACAAACGCAAACAAAAGAAAAGCTTCAAAAAGAGAAGATAGATTTCAGGTTTGCTCGGTTTTAGTGCTTGGACATTGAGGAATTAGAGTCGGCACTTTTTTGTCACTTTAACATGATCACGCGATCAGTTTTAACACAGTTTCTTGAGGCCCAAGATATTTCGTTTTCAGTCGAGAGCCGTGTCGAGCTACCGTGGTTTGCGAACATTCTCGAACTTCGTTTTAAGCAAAACTTGATCTTTGAACTTCACTTTTCCTTTCCTTAGCCGCCATGGCAGTCTATGGAGGAATCGCGTGCAACAGTCTACGCTCAGACACTCTCGCAAGCAGTACCAGTTGCAGCACTGGTGCCTTCATCAAGGCAAGAAAAACCATCGGTTTTGTAAGTTTCTCCAGGAGAAGAAGAGGAAAAATTACGGTCACAGGTGCAATAACTTCCTCAGCGCCAGGGTCTAGTAGCACTGTGAAAGAAGACGAGCAACAATTCTTACAGCAAAGTCTTGGGGAGAGCCAGGACAAGGAGGACAAGAAGTTCTCGTGGACCGAGCACTGGTACCCGGTTTCTCTTGTAGAGGATTTGGATCCAAAGGCCGCTACTCCATTCAAGCTCTTGGGGAGGGAGATAGTTGTGTGGAAGGACGGGGAAGGAAACTGGAGGGCTTTCTCGGATCAATGTCCTCACAGATTGGCTCCGTTATCGGTAAGTTTTCTTTTAAATTTTTTTTCCTAGTTTTATATGTGTTCATGGCTGAGAGGTATTTTTTTTCCCTGCACAGGAAGGAAGGATTGACGAGAATGGATGGCTTCAGTGCTCTTACCATGGCTGGTCATTCAAGGGCGATGGCTCTTGTGGAAAAATTCCGCAAGCGGCAACTCAAGGCCCCGAGTCGAAAGCGGTCGCTTCTCCAAGAGCGTGTGCCATCACCTTTCCTGCGGTTGTTTCGCAAGGGCTCCTGTTTGTTTGGCCTGACGAGAAAGGCTGGGAAAGCGCTCAAAGAACACAACCTCCTCAGTAAGTGATCCTGGCATCAAAATCTATGTGCTAAAGTGTGTCTTTGTTGTTTAGATTGCCTGCTGTGTTTGATGATCCTAGCTTTTCGACAGTGACTATACAGCGTGATCTCTTCTATGGCTACGACACACTTATGGAGAACGTTTCCGATCCATCACACATTGATTTCGCTCATCACAAGGTATGGAGATCCAGTATCACAGTTCTTTTTGAGCTAGACAGAAAGCTTTGCGACTGAAGGTTACAGGCAAGAGGGATAGAGCCAAGCCTCTTACTTTCAAGGTGGATTCGAGAGGCCCATGGGGATTTTCTGGTGCCAATTCCGACACTCCAAAGATCACGGCCGAGTTTCTAGCTCCATGCTACTACATAAACAAGTAAGTTCTTGGCTACTTTTTGGCGATAGAGCTCTTCAACAATGTTTTGTTCAGGATCGAGATACCACTTACACTACCTCTTCAAGGTCCCAAGACATGGGAGATATGGATTTGCTCCTTCAACGTCCCAATGGCTCCAGGACAAACTCGCTCCATCGTTTGCAGCGCTCGTAATTTTTTCACGTTTCTCATGCCCGGCCCTGCTTGGTGGCAGGCAAGTTCCGCGTCATTCTTATATCTTTCAGTTCTTTTTTAACTCTCTCGTATTGCAGCTGGTACCACGATGGCACGAACACTGGACTTCCAACAAAGTTTACGATGGCGACATGATAGTTCTTCAAGGCCAAGAGAAGAAGTTTTTGGCAACAGGAGGAGACATCAACGCCAAGTATTCGCAGATTACGTTTACTCCCACTCAAGCAGACAGGTTTGTTCTAGAGTTCAGAAACTGGCTTCGCAAGCATGGCAATGGTGAGCCAAAGTGGGCCGCTGGAACTAGCAAAACCCAGCCTTTACCATCGACTGTTCTGTCCAAGCAACAGGTAAAGTGATTGCCTGCCATTGGAAGCTTACTTTAACGTTTGTGTTGTGTTCTTACAGATGCTCGATCGATACCAGCAGCACACACTGAATTGCTCCTCGTGTAGGAACGCATTCAAAGCTTTCAAGGTCGCTGGGAGAGTTCTCATTGGAGCCACAGTGGTGTTTGCTGTTGCTACAGGAATCCCTCAGGAGATCATTCTCAAGCTTATATTTGCAGGCCTTGCAATGGCTAGTGCAGGGACAGCGTTCCTGTTGAAGGAGTTGGAAGAAAACTTTGTGTATAAAGACTATGTCCATGCAGAGATTGACTAATGGTTTTTCCAAAGGAGTGAGTCTACCGTGAATAATTAAATTCTTTTAGAAAAACCAATGGATATACCTAGATAATCCAAGGTTGTGAACTAAACTTGCAGCTAACCTAAAGGGAAGAATTTTTAGTAGCTTTCTTATAAAAATTGTTTAAAATGTTTTATTTTAAATAAGTCTGCTCTTATAGCGCCGCCGCTGCTCTTCTAGCTGCCTCACGCTCCCTCTAGAAGATCATGAATTCGTTCTTCTTCCGGGTTACCCGGGGCATTGAGAAGCCCCCTCCTGTAGAAAACTTGCTTGCATCTATAGAATGTGATGCACGCGACCACTGGAACGAGGATCGCAGTGGAGCACCATGCAAGTATGAGGCTGCTGGATTTATATACCGACTCGCCCTTGACAACAACGAGAACTTCAAGCCCTCGCTTTGTGATTGGAACTTGGTCTGCCAGCAGCCCCCAGGTTGCAAATTTCCTCTCCCTCTGAAGCTCGGCAGGGGTGACGGCAATCACAGGAGTGTAAGATGCAACCGAGATAATGGAATTGCTCACACAAAGCATCAATGTCTTCCATCACTGGAAATTCGTCAAGTCCGTGAAGAGCCTGAGCTGGAGATCGATGAAAGGCACAGCTGCTGCCACCACGGCTATGAAGGCACTGGGAAGAGCTACTGCTGCCACCCAGAAATCCGACGCTGGATGATTGAGATCCAGGGCCGAGTTCTGCGCTTGAATGTAAGAGTTCTTGACGTGAGACATGAAAGATCCCAGAACGTGGACAAGTGTCGTGGTGGTCGTCAAGTCGACTGACGAGGTAATGGAATTGCTGCTTGAGGAGTTGTCAGCTCCAAGAAGGCAAAGGTTTCTGCGTGGCCTACTCGCGAAGACGACTCCCTGGGACATGTCGAATCCTGCTGCTTCTGGAGCTGTATTGACCCTGAAATTCGACCATGGATCAAAATCTCTCCCCCTGAGCTTTACAATGCTTCGGTTGAAAGTTTGTGGATCTAGCTCCATCCCCTTGCAAAAACCGAGGCCAGTTGCATTGGCACGATCAGGATCGATGCTTCTCAAAGTCATCCCGCTTGACATTTCGATATGCGTGTTCCAGTTGGGAAGGGTCAAAACTTTGGATCCAACAGTGTTGCTCAGTACACCATCTTTCTCTTCCCAGAGGGAAAAGAATGCATACTTTGTGGTGCCTGGAATGGCTCGGATTACCACGGGCGTGAACTTAACACAGGTTCCAGCTCCAGCGCGTCAAGACCTAATGCCCACATGGTGATCTTCATAGTTCCCAAGCTCTTGATCTGTGCCTTGGATTTGTGCTCTATGAGAGAAGAGTTCTTGGTTGAGAGAAGGCCACCTTTCTCCGCAACTTCTGCGGTGAGGTTTCAACCCGAGAAGCTGGAGACCATGTACGCAAGAAAGGCCTGCTGGCTGCTTGATTGTAAATATGGAAGAAACTGCCAGTTGGATTTGTGGGATGAGTCACCATCCATGCTCAGGATTGCTGTGAAGCATGTTACACTTCGAACATTGCCCTCGTGAACTGAGATCGATGATGCTGTTGCTCTCGCCAGAACTGTAATGATCACAAAGAGAATGGCTCCTTTTGTCATGATAGTATGCCCAACTTCTTTGGAATTTGCTTCTCTTTCGACTAACTATATGTACCAACTTTCACAACTTGCTTCATAGACAAATCTATGCAACCAATTTGATCAATCATGCATACACGATCTTTAAGAAGAGAATATACCTATACTTATTCTCTATAAATACATTTGTATATGCGGCCTGTCGTGAAACCATCAAATGTAAATGTAGTGGCCTCGGTTGTGATTTAACAAAAACTTCCCACTTGCAAAGAATGATAGAGAAAGGTAAATTGCATTGGGCCATGATAGAATTTGCCTCCCAGCTTTGACACTGTGAATCCCAATCTAAAACTATCGTACGTTGGTACCGCAGATATGAGATGACGCAGCTAAGAAAGTAAGATATCACCACTAACGCACGAAGTTTGATCGCGCTCAAAGACAAGGGATACACACACCGAGTAAAGAACGCAAATCAAAACACTGAATATCAAATAGAGATGAACAGCTGTGCGGTCAATCAATCTTCTCATGCATGGTCGCGGCAGAATTTAGAGTAGCTATCACAGCAGCAGGTGCACCATTTTCAGAATGGTTGTGTTACCCTTGCAGGGGCACTCTCATCAGCACAGGAACGTAACCACAGGCTGAATGGTTTCACCTGAGAGCCATTTAGCTGCCGAATGGTTTGATACAACATCAGTGCTCACGGTGGCCTGGCAGCAGCACGACGTTATGACTACCGGGTGGCCTCGCCAGTCGCACCATTGTGGCCCGGTAAATGGCCTCCCATTTTGGATATTGATTCTCTGTTCTAATAATTAAAAACAAAGAAAAGAAACTATTTTGTTTATAGATACGGGGTTAATTATCCAAAAAAATATTTAATTTACGAGCTTTGATTGCATAATGTAAACTTAGGAATTAAAATCAGCTTCTTGACACTTGTTCAAACACTGCCCTGTTTTTCAGCAATCACCTTGACCTTAGCTAGAAAGTTCTTGTGAGATTCTTCATTATACATTCCTTGCCGCCCAACGTGCCCACCGCTTTCTTCATGGCTCGTGAGCACTTCCCACGTCCTCAGACTTGAGAGCCGTCACCACCGTGAATGACGAAAGCTCCACAAGCTCTGGCAATCCAGCGACCATTCCCTCCCGCTCAAACATCCCAGAGATCTTCCCTTTGACCAGAAAGTAGATGAACACCACTGACTCTGCCACGATGCCCGCGAAGAGGAAGAACATTCCGGCCAGTGATAGTGCCTCGGAGATGCTCAAGAACGTAAGCCCGATGCTGCCGCTAACCAGCCAG